CCATATTTTGTTTGTCTTTAAGCAATTCAAGCAGACAATGAAAGTCTCTTAAAGGAGAGACTGGATAGATCATGTAAATTTTATTTTATTTTATTTTATTTTATTTTATTTTATTTTATTTTATTTTTGAGACAGAGTCTGACTCTGTTGCCTGGGCTAGAGTGTCGTGGCGTCAGCCTAGCTCACAGCAACCTCAAACTCCTGGGCTCAAGCGATCCTCCTGCCTCAGCCTCCTGGGTTGCTGGGACTATAGGCATGTGCCACCATGCCTGACTAATTTTTTCTATTTTTAATTGTTTGGATAATTTCTTTCTATTTATAGTAGAGACGGGGGTCTCCCTCTTGCTCAGGCTGGTCTCGAACTCCTGAGCTCAAGCAATCCTCCCGCCTCAGCCTCCCAGAGTGCTAGGATTACAGGTGTGAGCCACCGCGCCTGGCCCATGTAAATTCTTGATTGGTTAATAAAAAAAATTAAAACCAGGTTGAGGCCACCTTTGTACTTTGTGCTCAGGGGACAGTTCATGTAGCCGGTTCACAGCAGCCAGAGAAGCCCGTGTCTTCCCCGGCACCAGTGGCATATGCGCTGCCTCACGCAGGTACTGGGAACTGTTCCGATCTGGGTGGCTGGGACCCTGCGTTAATTCGGAGGTAGAATGTGTCCCCGGTGGACCCTCCATTCTGCTTGTCAAATACGCGGTGGCGCAGATGTGGGAGGTGGGGGCCTGCCCGGGAGGTGATCGGAGGTGGCCTGAGACCAGAGGAGCCTCCTCTCCCACTTTTGGGTGATCTGTCCATCAATTTTGCATGCTAAATAGCTCCCAAGTGTTGCACTCTCCACTGTCCCTGTCCTGGCCTATCATCTCTTCCCGCAGAGACCACCTGACGGGCTTCCCCTCATTCATTCTTGTCGCCCACAGATCTTTCCCTCAGAGCAGGAAGTGGGATCTTTCTCAAGTATAAACCTGATTCGCAACCACACCCCTCTCCCCAAATAACGAACCGTGCATGTAACAATAAACCTCTTCCGTGGCTCCACGTACCTCCGAGTCGTGTCCTGACTCCTTTCCTGGAGCCCCCAGGCTGGACACCCTCCCCTCCCGGGGTCCTGCTGTGTGGGCCGTCTTTCCCGTCCAGCCCAGGGTCTCCCTACCTGCTCTTCCCTCTGCCCGCAAGTGCCACCGCAGATCAACTCAGATGCCACGACTTCCACAGAGGTCTTCCCCGCCTCCCTGCCCTGGTTATCCTTCCTCATTGCACTTTGCAGCCCCCTCCATGCTTTGTAACTATAAACAGCCCTCGTTTGTGGATTTGGAGGTTCACAGGCCTCCCTAACTTCACCGTGAGCAACACGAAGACAGAGACCTTGTCTAGTTTAGGTCATCCTTATAATTCCAGAATCTGTAAGATGCTCAATGCGTGTTTGCTAAAGGAAGAGTGGACTGATGCCTCGGTTTCCCCAGCTGGTCCCATGTGTAGGCTGACCTCACTTGGTGGCAGCGAGAGAGGGAGGGGACCTGGAGCCTCCAATTCGGCCCCACGGCTCAGCTTCAGCCTTCATTTACCCTTCAGATGCCATAGCCTGCGAGGGAGGGAGGGGGCCTTGGTCAAGTGGCAGGGGGAGCCGGCAGGGACAGAGGTACGGCTTCACAGCGAGGGTGTCCTCAGGGCTGGGTGGTCTCAGCTGGGGTGCAGGAGCAGAGAAGTTGGCTTCAGGGGCTCCATGGCTGGGGCCTTGTGGCAGGCGGGTGGTGACGGCAGCTCTGAAGGGGTGGCTGGCCCAGGGGAGAGGAGGCGCTGGGTGGCCCGGGTGCCAAGAGTGTCCTGGTGGGGGCTGGTGGCCGGGCAGAGCTGCCCACAGTCAAGGAGGTGACGATGAGTGTGAAGAGCATGCTTAGGAGAAATGTAGGGCTGGAAGGGCTGGAAGGCCGGAGATTCCCCTCCCAACCTCACCCCTGCTCCTGATCTCATCTTCCCACCCCCTGCGCCCCGGCCCTTGGCGGCAGCTCCTCTCGTAGCCGATCTGATCTCGAGAGCTCTCTGGCCTTCAGCCCCCATGACCCCCTGCCCTCTCCCAGCCTCCAGTCCTCCAGTGGCGCCCGCCCTGCTCCTGCCCTGCGAGCGGCCCGGCGCTGCCCAGCTGCAGCCTTCTCTCAGCACCTCCTCCTCGCTCCCTCGGCACCCTGGCACCAGCCCCAGACCGGTGTGTGTGGAGCACTCCTGCCGTGCTCCCCACCCCACTGCCCCCTGCAGAGGGGCCCCGGGACTTGAGATGCTCCCCTTGGGGGTCCAGCTCTCCCAGAGTCGGGGGGGGGTGAGGACAGGGCTGCTGGGGCCTGGCCCTCCACGGCTGAGGCGCTGTTGAAGGGAGGTGGAGGGGTGGAGTGGGGAGAGCATGCCCAGTCCCGGGGGCAGGGGAGGGCCCTGTGAGGCCACACGGCTTTCTCCAACCTCCCAGTATCTGTTGGTCTTGCCTGGTGCCACCTGCCCTTCCCAACTCTTCCCGTCTCCTCCATCTCCCCGGGTCCTTCCCGTTTCTCATGGTCCCTCTCATGGGTGCCCGAGAAGCTGGACTCCAGGCCCTTCTTTGGGTCAACTCAGTGGGGGCTGAGCTTCCTGCTGCCTTGTATGTGTGACTCTGGTGTCCCACAGGCCGGTGGTTGCAGGGGAGCCACCGGGTGGCAGAAGCGACCTGAAAGGTGTGTTGGTAAACAGAGCAGTTCTGGAACCCAGCGCGTCTGCTGTGGACAGGACTTAGAGATGGTCCAGTCCTCCCCGCCCCCCACACAAGCATTTGCAGATGGAAACACAGGGCTCTGAAGGGGGAAATGGGATTGACGCAAACAAGTCACATAGCGGTTAGTAATCATTATCACTGTGCTGGACATTTATTAAGTGCTTACTGTATACCCGGGATTACTGTACATTCCTTATAGGCTTTAACTGACCCAGGCCTAACGCCACCCTAGCAGGTGAGTAGTGTTATTTTCCCCATTTCATAGATGACGCGGTGGAGACCGGAACAGTGAGGGCAGTTTCCCCAGATCACGCAGCAACGGAAATTGTCCCCTTCACAGGGAGTCCTGACCTTCCAGTGATGCAGTGAGCGTATAAGCATTGTTCAGAGTTCCTTGAAAACAGTGGCAGACATGTCACCAAAGAAGATACGGCACGTGAGGCCAGGCGCGGTGGCTCATGCCTGTAATCCTAGCACTCTGGGAGGTGGGCGGATTGCTCGAGGTCAGGAGTTCGAAACCAGCCTGAGCAAGAGCAAGACCCCATCTCTACTATAAATAGAAAGAAATTAATTGGCCAACTAATATATATAGAAAAAAAAAACTAGCCGGGCATGGTGGCACCTGCCTGTAGTCCCAGCTACTCGGGAGGCTGAGGCAGGAGGATCGCTTGAGCCCAGGAGATTGAGGTTGCTGTGAGCTAGGCTGATGCCACGGCACTCACTCTAGCCTGGGCAACAAAGCAAGACTCTGTCTCAAAAAAAAAAAGAAGAAGAAGATAGAGCATGTGAAAAGATGCTCAACATCATTCGTCATCGGGGAAATGCAAATAAAAACTACAAGACCCACCCGCTCGAGCAGTTAAAGGAAAAAGTAAAAAGACTCACAATACCAAATGTTGGCACGAATATAGAGCAACTGGAACTCTCGTTACTGAATGAAGAGTGAACACACATTTTAGAAAGCAGTTTGACAGTTTCCTATACAGTTGAACATACTCACTCTACTTACATAATACGGAAGTCCAATTCCTAGAGAGAGAACAACACAAGCCCACACAAACACCTGTACACCAATGTTCGTAGCAGCTTTATTCACGACAGCAAAACATTGTGAGCATCCCAAATGCCCACTAACTACTGAGTGGAGAACAGACCAGAGTATGTGCACATGATGGGGAACTTCTCGACATAAACACAGCAACCTGCCGGACTGCGCGCTACGCGAAAGCAGCCAGGCTCAGAGGCTGCACGCAAGCATTATTCCATTCGCACAAACTCTCCAGAAAAGGCAAATCAGAACAGAAAACAGGTCAGTGGTTGCCAGGAATGGGGGATAGGAACTGCTGGATATCTTGATTATGGTGGTGGGTATACTGCTTGCATACTTGTCAAAACCCATCAAACTGCACATTTAAATGGGGCGAATTTCATTGTATGTAAATTACACCTCCCTAAACCTGATTTAGAAATAAAAGCGGTGGGCTGGGAAGGGGTGGAAAATAGGAGGGTCACTGGGAGGTCGGAAGAGGAGGGAGGAGAGTCAGGCCAGTCCCAGGGGAGAGTGTACCAGGCAGAGGGGACAGCCAGGGCACAGCAAGGACAGCCAGGGCCCGCACGAGTTGGTGTGGCTGAAGTGGCGCGAGAGACGGCTCGTAGAGGGTCTCCGACAGGCGTGGGGCTGGATCAGGGACTGAATTGTGGAGGGCCACGGAAGGGCGTGGGCTTTTACCCTGCGTGCGACGGGGCCACTGGAGGGCTCCCACACGCAGTGGTGTCATCTGACTTGGTTTCAGCAGCCCCTGTGTGGAGAGTGGTGGTGCAAGGACCAGTTAGGAGGCCACTGCAGGAATCCAGGACAGGGATGACATGGTGGCCCAGCCCAGCGTGGTGGCAGTGGAGGTGCTGAGAAGTGGCTGGACTTGGGCTATATTTCAAAGGCGGAGCCAACAGGACTTCCTGCCGGAGTGGACGTGGGATGTAAGAGAAAGAGAGGAAGCAAGGATGATGTCAGTTTTTGGCCGGAGCAGCTGGAAATCCAGCCGGGCACCCCCCTGGGGGCCGTTGAGTGGCTTTAACTGCCTCCTGGGGTCTGTGGATGAAGCCAGGACAGAAAGGAGGGGCTGGGCCAGGCTGTTGGCTCTGGGGCGCAGGGAATGGCTGCACATACTGGTTATTCCATTACCCTTTATTTATTGGCCTTATTGGCTTTTGTCATTTCCTCGCTGTCTCCTGTCTGGAGTGAAGGCTATAAATGTGATGGATTGATACAGGATACAGGAGGCCCAATTATCTCTGCTAAACCAGCCTCTCCTCTTGGGCAAGCCCTTCCTGCCTCCTCTGTCGATGCAGCAATGCCTACAGCCTTGCGTGCAGAAGAGGCCTGGTCCCCGGCCTTCCAGGAAAAAGGGTGCTGCCTGAGAGGTGAGAGGCAGGCAGATGGTCCCCAAGGAGAGACAGCTCCAAGGAGAAATCCTGGAGGCAAGCTCAGCCCCTGGCCGGTGGTGCCTAGTATCTAACCCAGCGCATGCTCCCTGGAGCGCTGCCTCACACAGGGGCTGGCACGGAGCAGGGCAGCAGGAGGACAGGACAGGACATGCCGCTGGCCGGTCAGCCCACATCCGGGGAAGGGGGCTCTGCTCTGACCTCGCATGCCTTTCTGGAATCTGAGCTGGCCTATCTCTGCACAAAGGCTGGGATGATGGGGCTTTTCTCTCCGGCAGCAGGTGCCTGGCAGCTGCCCGGGGATGCCAGCCCCGTGAGCTGGCATGGGAGGAAGTGCTTGTCAGGATGGTCATTACACGTGCTGGGCTCAGGCTGGCTCTGCTCCGACCCCTGCCGCTCGGGCTGGCTTGGGACACCCGCAAGAGGGTGGTGCCTTTTGATGGGCCCCTGGGGTCCCTCTGGGGTCACCCCCAGATGGAGCTTGGCAGCTGCCAGCCTTAGCATTATTTCTGAACAAAGTCCCTTGGCCACCTTCTGATGCCCCTTTGGCCTGTGTGCCTGTCGCTGGCCCTGGGAATGCCCTGAGGCCCCTGGCCCGAGGGAGGTTGGGACAGGAAGCCTGAGATTCAATCCTGGGGTTTCAGGCATCTCCCTGTTATCCTCCTCCTCCTCCTCCCGGACACAGACCCTGATTTCAGCCTCCATGCCTCGCGTGTGCAGGAGTGCATGTGTGTGAATCTGCACGTGTTTTTCCATCTGGGTGACACTCTCAAACGGCCATGCGTCTGACCTCCTTCCAGAAAAACAAAGAGTAGAGGGTGGAACTGCTGATGAGAAAAGGGCAGGAGACTTCAGAGGACAGGAAGTGTTCAAATGGAGGAGACGGTCCAGGGGACCCCAGCAGAGTGAATCGGCTGATTGATTGATGTGTTTCTTCTGCAAACATTCCTGACTCCTCATCTGTGCCAGGTACTGGGGAGGGGCTGCAAACCGTGTCGTGAACAAGCAGGCCTGGCCTGGCCTTGCACAGCCCTTGGGCTCCTGGTAGCAGAGTGATCAGACCAGTGGTGGGGTGCAGAGGCACCGTGCCAGCACAGACAGACCCTGGGAAGGAGCTGGGGCCAGGAGACACTAGTTCTCGAAGCTTCCCTGAGCCCCTTGGTGGCTGCCCTTGCCTTGCTCTCAGTTGCTGTCTCCGCTGGTAGGAGTGCCTGGCCTCTGCGTCCCCAGCCCTGTCCAACTTTCCGGGCACAAGTCTGGTGGCTGTCAGGGCTGCCGGTGGAGAAGCTGCTGGCACGCAGGCGGGGAACTGCCCGCGCCGTGGCCTGAGGGTGAGAGCTGACGTCTGAGCGGGAGTGTCTCTCCCTGCCAAGGGCTGAGGTCCCTGGGCTGCATGCCTTCCCTCTGACATAGGAGCCGGCATCTGTCACTCACAGAGCCACCCGCTGCCTGGACCCCAGCCCCACCCCACGGTGCCCAGCGACAGCTGTGGCATTGCAGCCAGCGCAGGCCTCCTCTCCGCCCGGCCCTGCCCCTCACGGCTCCCTCCAGGTGAGCTGCCCACATCTCCAGCAGGCCAGGCCCACCTCAGGCAGCCAGGTTTTGTCCCCACCCAAGGGGACAAAAACGCCCGACTCCAAGCCTTGGCTTCACGGACAAGGGGGAAGCCACCTCGCTGGCCCAAACCAAGGAGATAGTGGGAGAGGAGACCTGACCCCCTTCGAAGCTCATGGTGGGGTCGCAGCTTTGGACCCTGTCTTCCCCTCACGCACCCCTCAAGTCACTGACTTACTAGCACATGCCAGCTGCCGAGCTGGGTCCCGGTGTGGTGGTGAGTAACGCTGACAGGGACCCCATCCTCGTGTTGCTTTCAAAGTCTTTTCACTGGGATTCCTCATGAGAAATTTATTTTCCATCACTCACCGAGTTACACACACAGGCGTCCACCCAAGTTTTATGTATATCTGAAATAATAGTTTTATAAAACAATAGTTTTATAAAACAACATCACTCTTTCCACACAGGCTACACTGCTATTTTAAATTCTGATGTTCTTTTTACAAAGGGTGGTCCCAGGATGCTGGCAGTGGCTCACACCTGTAATCCTAGCAACTCTGGGAGGCCGAGGCGGGAGGATCGCTCAAGATCAGGAGTTCAAAACCAGCCTGAATGAGAGCAAGACCCATCTCTACTAAAAATAGAAAGAAATTAATTGGCCAACTAAAAATATATAGAAAAAAATTAGCCGGGCATGGTGGCGCATGCCTGTAGTCCCAGCTACTCGGGAGGCTGAGGCAGGAGGATCGCTTGAGCCCAGGAGTTTGAGGTTGCTGTGAGCTAGGCTGACGCCACGGCACTCACTCTAGCCTGGGCAACAGAGTGAGACTCTGTCTCAAAAACAAAAAACAAAGGGTGGTCCCAGCCTGCTTCTCTGGGACACAGCCTGCCCTTTGAAAAGCTCTCCTCCAGCAGGGGAAAGACAACTAACCAAGTGCCACAGGAGCTTGGGGTGGACTGTCCCTGCCCCAGTGTTGACCGAAGGACCAATCCAGAGGTCTCAGGGTGCCAACGACACACGTCTCTCCTCTGAAGATGGCTGACGAGGGAAACGGCGCCAGGCATATTTGCAGCAAGGACGTGAAAAGGGGTCTGAGGGAACCCGGGAGCCAGTTTCTTTGGCAAGAGCTGTTGCTGTGTTGTTCCCAGGACCCTGTCACCGTCCCCTGGGGAGAGCTGTGGGGGGCACATGCCACCTTCTAAACCCAGGCCTGTGAGGGGGCTTCGGGAGGCTTCTCAGAGAACTTTGAGATGTCGGAGGCACAGAGGCCAAGAAAGCTCGGGTGGACGGGCGAGCGTGGTGTGACTCCGGCCCTGGGACCCCTCGGTGGGGGCTGCAGGCCGGCTGCTCCGGGGGCGGCTGCAGCGTGTGCTGCCGTCAGGGCACCATCGGCCTGTCCTGGGGAGAAGCCACCCTGCCATGCTGGCTCTGAGCACTCCCAGGTCAGGCTGAGACTGCATGGACAACGTAAGGTGTCGGTAGGCTGCTGTGCTTCCACCCCAGACCGAGCTGAAAAGCTACAGGATCTGCCTGGGTTTTCATCCAGGCCAGGGAAGGTGATCTCCACTGAATACAGCTGAAGGGGACAGGGAGGGGCAGAAATAAAGGTTGGGTTCTGTTACATCAGGGCTCATGTTTGCTGGTGTTCCAGCTCATGAAGCATTTGTGGGGAGCATTGGGTGCTGTGGTAGGGTGGGGAGGGACGGAGAGCAGGGCCTGTCGCAGGGAAGGCCCTGGGTGGTGTCGGGAAGGTTCTCAGCGGAGGGACGTTCAGGTGAGGCCTGAGGACAGAGTGGCAAGGAGAAGACTGTTCTGGGCAGGGCTGGGAGGAGGGCGGGCTGAGCCTCTGAGGGGTTGGAGAGAGAGGCTGGCAGGGCTGCAGGCCTTGTGAGGGGTTTGCCTTGATCCTGAGGCAAAAGGAGGCCAGTGAGTGGTCTCGTCCAGGAGGTGATTACCTTGGATTAAAATAGCCCTCTGGTAGCTGAGTGGTGGGAGTTCGGAAGGGACCAGGTTAGAGAAGGAGCTGGCCTGGTGGTATCTCTGAGGTGAGGTACTGGCCTCAACCAAGGAAGGGTAGCAAGATGGAGCCCAGTGGTGGGATTCGAAGATACCAGGAGGCCAAGGAGAAGAGGGGTGCGGAAGCAGCGGAGGGTGGCTGATGGAGCACCTCCACAGACAGGCCTGGGGCGAGGCAGAGGCAGTCAATGCTGGACACGAGCTTGAAAGCTCTGGAGATGCCCCAGACAGACAGCGGGACATGCTGGCCTGGGGCTGCAGGGAGAGGCCCGGGCTTGGGATAAAGACTCAAGACTCTTCTTCCAAGCCACAGAGGGGACAAGCATGTGTTTCCCATGCTCTTCCTGGCAGAGGGAAGGGGGCTGAAAGAACTTGAACATTCGTCAGACACTGGAGGACGTCTTCCCAAAGGAAGCGGAAAAGGCACACTCGGTAAGACAGGAGGCGGCACAGGCAACAAAAAACAGACAATTTAGACTTCATGAAAATTGAAGCATTTTGTGCACCCAAAGACAGTATTAGCAGAGTAAAAGTAACCATAGAATGTGATAAAACATGTGCAAATCCTATACCTGATAAAGGATTGAGGTCCAGAATATATAGAGAACTCCCGAAACTCAACAGCACAAAAACAACACAATTCAAAGGACTTGAATGTCCCCAAAGAGGATACACAAATGGCCAATAAGGACAGAAAAAAAAAATGCTCATTTCACTAATCATTAGGGAAATGCAGCTAAATCTACAATGAACTAAAATTACCTCAAACCTCTTAGGGTGGTTACTATTGAAAAAAAAAACAACCCAGAAAATAACAAGTGCTGATGAGGATGTGAAGAAATTGGAATCCTTGTGCACTGCTGGTGGGAATGTAAAATGGTACAGCCACTGTGAAAAACAGTATTCCTCAAACAAATAAAAATAGAATTGCCACGTGATGCAGCAATTCCACTTCTGGGTAAATACCCCAAAGAAATTGAAAGCAAGATCTCAATGATATTTGTGCACTCATGTTCATAGCGGCGTTATTTACAATAGCTAAAAGGTGGAAGAAAACCAAGTGTCCATCCGTAGGTGAATGGATAAACAAACTACATACAACGGAATATTATTCAGCCTTAAGAAGAAAGGAAATTCTGAAAAGTTCTGAAAAACTTCTGGAAAAAATTCCTAAAAAGGAAGAAAATATGCTACAATATGGATGAACTTTGAGGACATTATGTTAAGTGGAATAAGCCAGTCACAAAAGGACATATATTGTATGATTCCACTTATGCGAGGCACTTAGTCAAGTTCATAGAGACAGCGAGTCGAACGGAGGCTTTTAAGGGCTGGAGGGGAGGGGGAGTGGGGAGTTAGAGTTTAATAGGTACAGATTTCAGTTTTACAAGATGAAGAGCATCCTGGAGATGGATGGTGGTAACGGGTGCACAGTGTGAATGTATTTAATATGTCACTGAACCGTACAGCTAAAAATGGTAAATTTTATGTGTATCTTACCACGACTAAAAAAATTGAGAAAGAGAAAAGCAAAGCAGGAGGAAACCCTGGAGAGGGTGGTGGCACACACAAGATGAGGACCAAGAAGGCGCTGCTGCACCCAGCCTCGAGGAGGTCCTGCATGCTGGCAGAGCATTTTCTTGGCAAGTGCTGGGCTGCCTGCAGCAGTGAGGTGCAGTGGACCGAGGAGGGAGCAGGAGGTGAGGGTGAGGAAGCCGGTGTCAGGTGTCACAGGTCCCTTCTGCACGCCAGGGGAGCTGCCTCTGGCTGGACACCTGGGTGCCGTCTATCCTGCCCTGAGGCTCTGACTGGAAGTCCTAGAAGGCAGGACCCGGGGGGTCCTCTCCTGGGGAGGGGCAGACTGCTCCACCCACACCCCACTCGTCCTGGACCAGCCCACACTCCAGGGAAGTTTTCTTGGAGGAAAACTCCAGGCCGTTTTCCTGGGAAGATAACCGCAAGTCCTTCCGGGTTCTGGGAATCTCCCTGTCCCCAGCCCCCGGCACTGCTGTTCTCCAGACTTGGTCAGGACCAGTCCTTTTCACGGGCTCCTTGGGCCTCTGCCACCACCCTTGCCAAATCCCAGCACAAGAACAGAGCCCAGACCAGGTCATGTAAGCCATTTATTGGATTGTTTTAAAAATATGTATTTTATTTATACACGAAGTTTGGTGAGAAGTGCTCGATTAGTTCAGACGACATCTGGCACTGATGCTTGTCCCCCCTCCTTCTTCCTACCCTCTTCTCCCCTCCTGGTGGCTACTGTGCAGTTCTAGGAATAAAAATGAGAGCCACGCTAAAAGCTAAGGGGTCGGGTCTAGCTCGTCCCTGCCCTTAGCCACACTGTCTGTGGACAGCCCTGGGCACCTGTCTCCAGGCTCCCGGGCTGTCCACACACACACACACACAAAACCACAGTCTCCTTCCGGCCAGCTGGGCTGGCGGCCCGGCCGCCTCCCAACCGCATTCCTGCCTGTGCGGCGGGCGCTGGGTGCCCAGGACGGGCACTTGCCTCTCCAAGCCTTGAGAGCCAAGCACAGAGATCTACAAAAATAAGATTTCCACTCAGAGAAGTGTCACTGGGACAGTTAAAACCGAGTCCCGCACTGGACTCAAAGGGGACACAAGAGAAACCTCTGGGGGTGGGGTGGGGTGGGGGCTGGGGTTGCCACCAAGGGAACTGGGGTGACAGGAAGAAACATAATACTTTATGCGCCAGCAATGCCCCCCCTTCAGCACTGCCATGAGTGTCGCAAACGTCCAGCCCTCTGACAGCTCGGCGAGGTAGGTTAGGAGCAGCCAGCCCGGGAGGGCGGGTGAGACTGAGGTGGCCCGTGCGGCGGACGCCCGGCTGCCGGCGGAGGTGGCTCTGCTGGAGAGCTGGAGGCGGGCAGCCGAGCCCCTGCCTGTTCCCGCTCCGCCAGCTGTTCCCTACATTAACAGATTTGCATATGCTAAATAGGATTGTCAGCAGCTGAAGAGGTCCTGGGGTAATTGGACTAGTAAAAGTATTTTTCCCTGAAAAAGCCTTCTCCTAAGACCTACGGGACATCCTGGACCCTGCCCCGAGGAGGTCCTGCGTGTGGGCGCCACCAGGACCCCGGGCTGAGCCAGAGGGGCCTGGTCCAGGCCACGTTGCTCCATCTCCCAAAGGGGTTCATCCCCCTCCCAGGGCACAAGAACCCGGCCTGACCATCCTGAGGCCCCTCCCCGCACAGGGCCAAGCTGCCTTCCCCACTCCCAGGCCACCCCGTCTGGAGAGAGGCTGGGGACCACACGGAGATCCCTTCTCCACATGGTCAGAGGCAGAAATGTCCAGAGAGAGCCCTGGAAGATGGCTCTCTTTGGACAGGCTGAGGGGCCGCCACAGCCGAGCACTGTGGAACTTCCCAGGCCCAAACCCACAGGGCTCATCCTTCTCCTCCCTCGGCCTGTCGGGCAGGGCCGGCCAGGTTCCGGCCGCAAGGACAAGCAGTACGCCAGGCCCTGAGCAGGGCTGGCTCCCTCGTGCCCCTCGGTGTGAAGGTTAATACTCTTATGGGAGGGGAAGAGGAGGCAACATCAGTGCCTTGGAC